ATATATATATATATATATATATATACATGTAGGTATATATATTGAAGCTGGTGTGTTATGCCGAAAGGCGGTTATACCAGCTATACAGATACAGAAAAAAGTATCAATCCTGACGCTGGGCACACATCATCAATGTTTAATGTGTCCTCAGTCTGACATCCAGGCAAGCACCCACTGAACACACCTGTGATGAGGAATAATTATATATAACACCCTGACAAATCACAACCTCTCTACTGCAATAAAACATACATCATAAAACAATAACTACAGCCAAGCCGAACATCTACTCATGATAAAAAGGCTTTGGTCTTATTTCATCTCCACATACACAGTATAACATGTATATAACAAGTATTTTCTTATTGAGTAACCTGGTGACTGAGCTTAGCAATGTAGTGGACACAATGCATGCATAAACAGATACAACGCATGCAGTTCCAATAAAGCTGCTAGGTGGCAAGCACACCACAACACAAGTCCAACGATCACAACCTTCTAAAATTGGTGTGAAACTTGTCCCATTGGAAACTTACCCCCAACCAGTGTTCTAACCAGCGTCAGTCTTTCCACCATTAGACTGAATTTTCTCACTCATGACCCGTCATCTTTCACATTCAAAAGTGATGTCATTAAACTAAGCTTAGTCCAGCAATATCTGCGGCCTTTCAAAAATGCAGGAAATGACATTTCAAAGGGTCTAGATATCAAAATTGTCATAGGATTGTTGTTCCTTTGGTGGCACTTGACATGATCTTACATCAAACAAAATTGACATGACAGAAAAAAAAAATCAGACGTATAACTATAAGGGAGCTAATATAAGCTTGTCCCAAGTCAGCAGCCCTCACATAATTTTCACAACCACATACATGCATAAATACTCAGGCAATCTACTGCCGTTTGCCACTTACCATCAACAACTACCGGGCACTTATATCAGCTTACAAGGAAAGCAATCATAAAATCCGTGGCGCAGAAAATGAGTGGCGTCTCCAGAATGTTCGCCCAAGGCGGTAGACTCGCTATCCTATAGCCGCTCTCCTGTGAAGGAGCCCCACGAGCCAGCCTTGCAGACGACACCGGGCCAGCTGGAACAAACCTGTTCTAATATCCGTAAATTATCATCCAAACAGCCCCTTTCTTACGCGTCTGGAACGAGGTGAATCATGTCCGAGACTGTACTTGAGCGGACGGACACTGATTGTGTTTTTATAGACGCTGTAGTGTGTCGGATGGAGGCCGCGGGGCGCCTGGCGCCAACAGTGCAGTCTCTCGGTATCGCACTTTCCTCACAACACTTGGAACAACAAACGTACGTATACGTACGAGTGGATCACATATATTATGACCGTAACGGAAAGGACTAAGGAAACTACTCACCTGAAAGTAAGGACACACAGAGGCCGGTATGACTTGTGGCTGGTGTTATCCGACATTCTCTTCCCCCAGAAATCGTTCAGGAAAACTTCCGAGAGGGGCGTTTTCCCCAAAACATCTTTGTTGGTTTTGATCGCCATCACATCATCGTGCACGAAGTCTCCGGGAAGGCTGTTCAGGTAGCACCCTACCGCCACCACGCACACCAATATGTAGCACATCGG